AAGAGGCAAGAAGAAACCCACACACCCTTTCCTTTTATGCCACAGTAGCTCTCAGCAGAGTGCTGTGGCCACTGGAGTGAGGAGGAAGGTGTGGAGAAGGATGCATCTGAGAAGTCCTTGGCTGATCTTTTAAAAGTATTACCCTGTCACAAGTGTATTGTGGCCAGATTGTAAAATGAACACTATGAAATGTTATGTTTGGTATTTTATACTTTTTGTAGTGTGAGCTGTCATTGAAGATTACAAAGGAAAATGATAAGATTTTCATTGGCTCCAAAATTAAAATGTGGTGAGAAAACAGAGCTGTGTGAAGTAAGCAGTCAGAGGCTTTTGTTAAAGCAGAGACCGAGATGATGGGAACCTGAACCACAGCATTAACTATGAAAAAGGACATTAACTAGATGTAGATTGGGGTTCACTGAAATTGTAAAAGTGGTTATAGTCACCCTGGGAGCATGAATAGAATTCTGGAAAAACAAAACAAAACAACTGGCTCGTTAGGAGATGGCAAAATAAAGAACAAGAACCAGGATGATTAGGTTTTAGGTGCCAGAAGATGAGAAACTAGTCAAAGTCTAACAAATATTATATTAGAATAAACTTATCTACATTTAAATTTCCATCCTGATCATTTGCTTGGTACTGATTCATACCTCAGAGAGTTTCTAGCTTCTACAACCGAAAACAAGATTAATTTTAAACATTGTTCAAATGTCTTTCTCAAAGTAGGTTTCAGCAGTGGCCTTTGAAAGTTATGCAAATAAAATGTTCCTGGGCTGTACTATCTCTAAGATCATTTCAGCTTGAAAGTTTTGATTTTATGAGAGTACATCCAGAGGTAAGAATTTTGAGAGGTCTTCATAAAGAGAGTAATATCACTGGGACCAATAGCTTTTACTTACTGAAGGCTGATTAGGGAAAAATGTTGAAGTAAAATTAAAAGAAACAGCAGTAAACTTGCCTTTTTATTTTAAGGAGAAAAGCAATGAAAACAATTATAGGAAATTTCAAAACAAGATGATGGGAGATTAACAATGGCTAATAAATTGCATATTGTTATCTTCAAAGTAGTTGCTCAGATTACAAGATATAGGCATGAAAAATTGATCAGGCAATACAAGCACAAACCATTCTTTTTAATGAACTAATAGAGAGTAGTGGTGTAATTATCTTAGCTATCTCGTATTCTTTTCCTTTTTTTCTTTTCTCCTTTCTCCAATATCAGTTATTCTTTCCTTTTGAGCAGTTTCTTTCCCTTTTACAATATCTATTGTACATTTTGGTTATTATTTACTCTTTCAGTTTCTTACACTGGGGAGACAATGCAATGTTTACACGCGTGAGGCTGATTTATTTCACTTATGAGTATAGTCTTAAACTGCATCCATTTACCTATAAAAGCCTTGAGATTGTCCTTCTTTAAAGCTGGGTAGTACTCCATTGCATAAAAATACCACATCTTTTTATCCTTTCCTTGGTTGATGGGCATTTGGGTTGTTTCTAAGATTTAGCTATTGTAAATTGTGCTGCTATAAACATGGATGGACATATATCTCTGTGGTATGATGCTTTTAATTCATCAGGGGAAATACCCAGAAGGGGAATAGATGGGTCAAATGGGACCTCTAATCTTAGTTTTTTAAGGAATCTCCACACTGATTTCTATAGTGGTTGTCTCAGTCTCCACTCCCGCCAATAGTGGAGAAGGATTCCTTTTTCCACACCCCATAGGATTTGTTCTTCATTGATTTCTTGATAATAGCCATTCTTTCTGGGGTGAGATGAAATCTCAGTGTTGCTTTATTTTGGATTTCTTGGATGACCAATGATGTTGAACATTTTTTCATATATTTATTGTTCATTTGTATTTCTTCATGTGGGAATTGTATATTCATCTCAGATGCCGATTTTTGGATTCAGTCTTTGAATTTTGGGAGTCTCATTTTTTTCAATTCTTTATATGTTCTAGATAGAAATCCTTTGTCTAAGGGACAGTTGTCTAAAACTTTTTCCCATTCTGTGGATTTTATTCTCACTCTGTTGGTGATTTCTTTTTTTGTTAATTTTATTTAAAGATAGGTAAAAAATGTAAATCCAGAACAAAGGGTAGCAACAATACAGATTTTTAAAAAACCCCAAGAAATCACTAGTTGATAAATTACATACTGTCATCTTAGAAATAGTTGTTCAAGTTACAAAATTAAAGCATACAAAATGGACATTCAGACAATGAGACTGCAAACAGTTCTGCTCAATGATTGTTGGTGATTTCTTTTGCTGTGAAAAAACTGTTTAATAAGATGAGTTCTTGATTCTTTGAAGTACTTTCTTTACAGTTTGGATTTTGTTCATGAATTCACTGTCTACCCCTGTGTCTTCAAGATTTCCACCTAATTTCTCTTCCAATAGATTTAGTAAAATTTCTTTTTTATGAAGAAAGCTGTGTACGTGGTATAATTATATACATGAACACAAAGGAGCCAACTTTGACCTTGAATTTTTGTTTAATTTTTAATCTGTAAGAAAATGCTTCTAAATACAGATACCACCATTGTCAAATCTTTAGAATTGAAAAAGTTTGTACACATTACATCCCTAATGTGAAAAATCCAATACTTGAAATGTCCCCAAATTGGAAACTTTTTGAATGTCATTGTTCATTGTGGTTTTTTTTTTAAATTAGGGATATTTAACTGGTAACATCCATGTAAATATTTCAAGATCTGCAAAATCCCATAGTCAGAAAAAAACACTTCTTGCCCCAAGCATATTAGTTAAAGAGTATTCTATCTATTGTAGCAATACACAGAAAAAGTGTTCAGTTAGACTTGAAAATTGGTCTAGATTTGAACCTCATCTGTCTGTATTTTTGAAAATATGAAACATAAGATTTTTATGGGTTTAAATAAAAATCAACTTTGAAAAATTCATGATTATATAGGCCAAATATGAAGCAAATTTCTATGTGTTTTCTGTGTCTGTATTTCTTTATTGTTCTTTGATTTATGTCTTAATCTAGAATTTAATTTTCCTAAGGATCTGAACTTGGTCTGGTCTTCCATTTCTTCTTTATCTGCCATCTTGACCTTACAGATAAGGAGAGATGATTTTTTTCTTTTCTTAATTTAGTTTTATATCCTATTTAGATAAAAACTCTGAAATATTTATTTCTGAACTCTTAGAACTGGATACCCACAGTCTGAACATTTATTGATTATCTTCCATTAAATGTCCCAGACAGTAAAAAATACAAATGTTCTAGATAGTTTAGTTATTAGTTCATAATAACTTTCTTTTATCTATTGAGTCCAGCTTTTTTTTTTTTTTTTTTTTTTTTTTTGCTGACTCCAAATGCTTGTGCTTCATGTTTTGACTACTTTTCATGCTTACTCTGCTTGTGTTCAATTAGGTGCCAGTTACTATAGCTTCTTCCTCTGTAAATCCAGTGAGTATTTTCCATTCTTACTCAGATCTTCTATGCTACGTGATGACAGTAACTCAGGTTCCTTAGTCTTTTGATTCTGTTTAGTCTTGTAGATTGCTGGCAACTAAACCTTCCTGGACTGTACTTCTATCTATATCCATTTTAGCTCAAAATCTGTGCAAGTCTGCTTGTTTTTTTTTTTTTTCCTCATTCACCGTAACAGCCTGATTCAGACTCTCTTTTTGGCCACATAAATTTACTCATATCCATAAAATACTTCCTGGGCCCAGCAAAATCAGCTCACACGTTCTTCAAATAGGCTTTAGATTTCTGTCCGTAGTGGTATTGTTGCTAGAATTCCTTTCCCCCTTTTCCATACCTGTGCAGATCAGAACAAGAAGCTCTTGCACTATAATCTAACTATTTTACAGTGACTACAAGGTTTAGATTATGCCTCCCTGGCAGTCATGATTGTGATGCATCATCTATAAACTATTTACCATATTATTTATGTATGTTCATGAGGTGTTTAATGTAGGATTTTCTGTAACAGTAAATTATTGGAAACTATTAAAATAGATGCACTTGAGAAAATACATAGATACATACACTGGTGTGGAAATTTTTTTTTTTTTGTCTTTTTCGTTTTTTTATTGGTACCAGGGATTGAACTCACGACTGCCTGCTTGCAAGGCAGGCGCTTATGCCGCTGAGCTAAATCCCCAGCCCGGTGTGGAAAATTTATTGTGGAATATAGGCTGTCACTCCATCTTTTAAAAAATTTAAAATATATGTGTATTGATATGATGAACATAAAAATGTGAAAATATACACACAACTTCACTGAACAGTGGTTATTTGCATTTGTGCATATCTGAGGATGGGAATTTAAATTGTGAAGGATGGGCTGGGGATTTAGCTCAGCGGCATAAGTGCCTGCCTGGCAAGTGCAAGGTCATGAGCTCAATCCCCAGTACCAAAAATTTAAAAATTTTTAAAAATAAAATTATGAAGGACTTTTTAATATGGTCTGAAAATGTTAGTGTTTGCTAATACTAGATGATGCTTTATGCATTTATATTTGATGAATTTTAAATAAAAATTACAACTAGAGAAATTCAGTATTATATATACTTAAATGACAAGTATACATTGATACTACTCAATGTGATTTCTTCTTGCAAATACACATCAGAAATTTTTTAATTGTTATTTGTATTATTTTTTCTCTTTTTTGAGACAGGGTTTTGCTATGCAATTTAGGCTGGCCTTGACTTCACTTTGTAGTCCAGGCTAGTCTCAGACTCACAGCAACCTTCCTACCTTAGCCTCCTGAGTGCTGGGATTACAGGCGTGCACCACCATGCCTAGCCTCATCAGAAGATTTAGACTGTGTGATTGCAATTATCATGGAAATATTTAAACGGATGCCATAATGCTTACACATGATTAAAACTTATTTTCACTTATTTTTATGAAAATTATAGCATGAAATGTATTTGATTCATTTGTATATGCTGATTTCTGATGGAGACCAAAGAGACATAAATGGTATGTTTGTTTTGTGGTGATATAGGTGTGATCAACAAAACACTGATCTTCAGACTTCTGGAGGAAGAGATGACCATGTAATTAGACATTTTCCTTACTATTTTGCTAAAGTTTTCTGTGTCAGTCCAAAATAATGCTTAAAATTTTGTGTTATCATAATAAACATTTGATGTTTTCAGGATAGCAATACCAGTATTATGTTTTCTAAAAAGCTACAATATAGCATTTTTTGAAGAAAAATATGTTACCTAAGATGTACTAAAGTTAAGCTTAGCCTAAATTAGATTTAAGAATGAAGTGGGAAATAAAGAATACTACAAAAGAAAAACTAGAGCAGCATATACCACATGGTATAGACATTTTTATTGTCTTGTAAAATGCAAATGAGCTAGGAATCACCATTTTCAGTGGCTTTGCTGCTAATGGTTTGCCTCTCAGATGTTCTTAGTTATGATATGATAATAAGATCAGACAACAGGAGCTTTTAAATTTCAGCATCCAATTCTAAAAAAAGAAATAAAACATCCCGAAGTAGTGCAATCACTCTGACCTTAGCTCACTTCTGGAAAACTTTATTAACCACATTTTGAAGTTTACTCCCTAGAATACTTTATAATAGATTTCTAAAGATATATGTTAATAAGTCAGAAGATAATGCATTATTCTATAAATGATATGATAGATCTGAAGAAAATGAAACCAATTGTTTTAGATTTTGTACTTCCAGAGATTCCTATGGAGAGGCATTGTTTTTTACACTAGGAAAACAGGTGCATGTTTTTAAAAATACCACTTAAAACACATTACTGATTGTAAAAGCACAAATTCTACTTGTGAAATCATATTTGTTTATAGGTCTCTCGTTATATCATTAACACTTGGATAATAATTATCAAGTTAAATGGTAGTTAAACTCCACTATCCCAATTACATCTTTTCTGATAAGTACATTGTAACAAAGTGTGGCTTGGAAGACAGTTTGCTGAGTGAAATTCCCAAGGAGTTGACCACAGAGTTTTGAGCCATAACATCAGTGACTGTCTGCTTATTACAGAAAAATTTCGATAGCTGCCACATGGTTTAGACATTTTTATTAAAAGATAGCAAGCATAGAACTTTTAAAACTGGAAAACTTGGTATCTTGTGTTTCATCTTAGAATGTCTCGCTTTAGCCTAAAATTTAATTGAATTAATGAAGCTCAAAAGTTTTTGCTTTAGTAAAAAGTGAAGACTCAGAGCAAGGAAACATTACTTCACCATTTCTGGTTTTAGAAGTTATGACTGTCTTCTAAGCAGTTTTTACTGTAAGAGTTTACACTGAAAAGGAAACAGAAATGGTCCACTGAGAGCCTTTTAGGGTAGCATTGATTGGGAAACAGAGCATGTGTGTACTTACTATTTTATTGTTTTTCAGTTATGCCTATTATTATACTGGAATCGGTGCTGGTGTGCTTATTGCTGCTTACATTCAGGTTTCATTTTGGTGCCTGGCAGCTGGAAGACAGATACACAAAATTAGAACACAGTTTTTCCATGCAATAATGAAACAGGAGATTGGCTGGTTTGATGTGCATGATGCTGGGGAGCTGAACACCCGTCTCACAGAGTAAGTACCTAGCTTTATGTGTAACTCAGATACAGTTCATACTGTAAATGAAATGAGACAGATGTCATCAGATCTCTTAGAGATGTTTGTACATCACTCAGAAGACTGAGTTCCTTCTGAATCACAGCCATGTCTTGTGTACCTGGCCTGGAATGATGGGACCTGCTTGACTGGCAGTGAATGAGGGAGTGAACTTACCTCAATCAAGGGATATTCAGAGAGCTAATAAAGCAGTATGCAGTAGAGCAGTAATATGATAGTTACTGATTAAATTTTCAAGCAATTTGAAATTTCCACGTTTCCTACTTCTTGAGTAATCATGTTCATTTCTTGAAGCCATGTGGATTATGGATTTCCACTGTGACAAATTTTGTACTAGGAACTGACACCTTGCTAAATGAAACTAGGTATGAACTTATTTATTCCATACTCAAAACGAAACGAAATGAAACCAAACCAAATCAAATAAAATGCAGTACTGGGGATAGGAGAAATGCTCCATGTTTCTAATTCTGACATTGTTTCTAACATTATTTGTTCTATAGTGATGTCTCCAAAATTAATGAAGGAATTGGTGACAAAATTGGAATGTTGATTCAGTCACTGGCAACATTTTTGGCTGGTTTTATAGTAGGATTTACACGTAGTTGGAAACTAACTCTTGTGGTTTTGGCTGTCGGCCCTGTTCTTGGACTATCAGCTGGGATCTGGGCAAAGGTAGGTGAAGCCTATGAACCTAGGCTTCTTCTCTATATCCCTTTGAAGGATATGGAATGACAATAGGCCTAATGTTGTATTTTATACTTGCTTGTGTCTCTTCTGTTCAAAATCAATAAGATGAAGCAATCTCACTGAATGCTACCCCTGCCAGGGCTCTGTACTGTCCTGCACCATGTGATTATTTAGAGAAATGTGAGAAAGAGGGAAGTAACTCAGTATCTGTTTGCTTACAAAAAACAAAAGAAACCAAAACAAAACCCACAGATACTGAACCCCGAAGATCTGTGATTGGTAGAAAAGCTCCATAGTCACACAACAACTGGAGATTCAAGTTAGCAAGCCACAGAATGGGTTCTGTTAACACTGTCGAAAGTGTTTTTTGACTTTGCAGATTTTGTTTACCTTGTATGTTGATTTTAGTTTTATTATCAGTGTGTTTCTTGGTTTACATATATATTTAAATGCATTGTTATAAAAATGATTTAAGAAAATACATGCTTTCCAGCCTGGGATCCCTATAAATTCTTAACGTCCAGTTCTCTCACCTGGTATTGGAGGCAGAGCAGTAGGAGCAACCTTCCCCACTTTAAACACATGCCTCCAATGGTTTTGTAAAACTTGTTTTTCTTTCCTGGGTAGGAATGATATTCGTTTTATGAACAAATGTGATTTAATATTGTCTAATGTATAGCTTTTCTCAGGTTATACATAGTGTAGAAAATATTTAGTGAATTTATATAGCAAAAAGATTAAACAGTGGAAGAGCAGCCAAAGCTAAGCCTAACAAAAATAGGCCAGGCTGTAAGTATTCAAAAGTTTTAGAAAAATTTCTCTATGTGATGGATTTTTTTTATTGCAAACTGTAACTCTCATTTATTGGCAACCTGCTATATCAAGCAAATACATAGTTTTTCTTTTCTAAAGTATAGGTTTTGTCCCATTTTGTAAAGGAAGAAACTGAGGTTCTGAGGATCCTATTAATTTGTTACTGTAGAAGTTGGCTTTGTGTACCCCTAAGAATAGTTTCGAGCGTGTATTTATTCTTTTAACGGTTAGACTGCTTGAAAAAAAAAATACCAATGGATATTCTATTCTTATCTACTTATAGTTTTGGAAGTTCATAGAAGGAAAAAGGAGTTAAATATGTTGAATTCAGAATGGTACTTGATATATTAACAAGTTAAAATAGCATACATGTAACTCCTAATTAAAAACTGTGTTGTGGTAATCTTCCTGTGAGCCATCTGTGAGACTCTGGGGAGCAGAGAGCCGATGGTGCAGCTTGTTGCCTGAGCTGTCTGTATTCTGCTCACCCTCGGTTCAAGCAGGGCACTGGGCCTTCTAACACACCCAGTGCTGTAACGGATTCGGGAAATTTTGGTGGTGTAGCCCTAGGAAGACGACTGTGAGAAGTTGGGAAGGCCAGTGAATTAATTAGTGGGGCACCATTTGGGGTACCAAAGAGAAGGGATAGACTCAACATAATGTCCTCACAGAGAATATCATTCATGTGTATTTGGGGCTTAGGGTGTGGCTTAGTAGTAGATCACTTGCTTAGTATATGCGAGACCCTAGGTTCAACCCCATGCACCCCACCAAAACCTGTCTGTTTGCTTTCATCTGTTTCATTTGTGTTATCTACTCATTCCTGCGTCTGTCATAGCTCCCTTTGCTTTCATACACAGGAAAGGAAGTAATGCACTGTTCACGATCAAAACAATGTTGAAAAGATCAAAACTTCTGAATCATATATGGAAAGACTATCATACTGTTTAACTTTTTATTATAAATTGTTTGTGTGTAATATATATTTAGATTGTTGTCCACTTCACACGCCTAGTAGAAACAGTAAAATCTTTTGATTTTACTTTTGATTTTCTTTAGTGATTATTTTTTACTCAGTACTTAGTACTCAGACTTGAATCCTGGATATTTTACTTAATAGCAAATTATTCAACCTTTCCTGTTTTTTCCATTTCCTTATGTGTAAAATATGGGAAATACTATTTCACTGTACAGTTGATAGCAATAAATGAGAACTTATACATAAAAGGCAACCAGCAATGTTCTGTCCACAGAATAAATACTCAGGAACTAAGCAGAAGGATCAAAGAGCGGCCAGAAAGGAAAGACCCGCCTGGTGGCTGAATATATTGTTATTCCCAAGAGCACTAGCAGAGGAAACTTGGTGCTTACCTTGGCCTGGGAAATCTTCTTGAAGTTTCTTGGGCCTTTGTATTCTTCTAGCCTCCTACTTTAGCACTTTTGAACTAGAATCACTAAAATGTGGTATGATTAGTGCATAAAATATTTTGTTGATATAATTTTTGTGTATTTTTCTTTTCAGAAATTTAACATCTCTCAAAAGTTTCAGTTAAATTTATTCAGATCAAGAAATACGAGGTTTTGGGTAGGAAAATAAAAATGTAGTTAACTGATTTATTATCTATCATGCCTATCCAAAATGGATTTGAGATGGCTTATAGGGTTATGCTAAAATATAGAACATCATTACCAAAGACAACTCAAAGAAAAATTTGGTTCTTTACATGCATTAATATACATATATATGCATGAATATATATATGTCTCTGTGAGTATGTATATATTGCAAAACATAAAAAGTTATAATATTTAATGATCTGAAATTGTGTTTTAAAACAGATACTATCTTCATTTACTGATAAAGAGCTCTCAGCATATGCAAAAGCTGGAGCCGTGGCTGAAGAAGTCTTAGCAGCCATTAGAACTGTGATTGCATTTGGAGGACAAAACAAAGAACTTGAAAGGTTTGAGTTTCTTTCTTTAATGTCACTAGAAATATTCTCTGTCATCTCGTATACCCTTCAGGCTAACAATGTGAATGAGAGATACTTTTCCAATATAAATATTCCCTTAAGTGGACCTGTTATATCATTACTGATACTCTGAAGAAGTTGTAATTTTGTTGTACACTTTTTATATGTGCCAATTCAAAGAATTTTCTTTAGTTTTCTAGGCTGTAACATATAAAGAATTTTCTAAGGCTGAAATCTATTTTATATCTCTGGTGATTTGGGGGCCTATCAAGTCAATTCTTGATTTACTAAGATGGAATAAGTATTTTATATAGGATCTGTGAATTATTTACCTTCTTGCACAGGCTCCTACTTAGTTGAAATACACCCCATCATTTGGAAGATAAAAATACAACCAAAAAACAGAGTCATACAAAAATTGAAAATCTATTTTGTGATGCATTGTTTAGTGCTATCCGTGTGACTGTTTTCTCTTGTCTTAGATTTCCGAGAGTATAGATAATAGTTTATTGAAATCCATGGTATTCATTGGATCCAGTGATTTCTGAGCAGCAGGAGATTTTTCTGTCTTCCTTTTTTTATTTTGGTACCAGGAATTGAACTCATGACTTTGCACTTGCTAAGCAGGCACGGTAACACTGAGCTGTATCCCATGCAAGAGATTTTCTGTAAAATTCAGCATATATTGTGATTATATTCTGACACATTTTCATGTAATAAGTATGTATTTCTTGCAAACAGAAAAACTATTCTGTATAAAGTAACACATTATCTGTTAAGGCCATAAAGATAAGTCAGAAAATTTTTATAAATGAGGATAATGGTTACCTGTGGGATGATGAGGAACTGAGTGCTAGGACTGGAACCCATGCCCAGGGCTTCTCTGGGGCTATCAGTGCCTGTTTGCAGAACTCAGCTGTGCTGACCTGAGAGTCACTGTGAGATTACTTTTACATTGTGCACATTTGCTTAGTGTACTTTTTTGTTCTTGTTCTATTTTTTGTTTTTACCCAAGCTTTTGCTGTTGATTTGAAATATGTCCCACTAATAAAATGGGAAGTTTGGCTTAATGTCCAGAAAAGCATCACATCATACAAAGCCTATATTTCCTGAAGCTTAAGTTCTAACGAGAGGAGGGGAAGTATACAAACAGCTAGCTGCACATAACCAAGTATGTAATACACCAGGCGGAGTAATATGATTTGGAGATATGAAAAGAGTTTTCAGGAGCCACAGGGTTGCATTTAGAGGTGCACTAAATTACAAATTTTAAAAAGTGCCCTGATGAAAGAGTGTGCCGATGAGGGTGAGGAGGCAACACTTTCATATGGTGGTAAGGGAGGCCACTTTGAGGAGGTTTTATCTAGGTGGGGCCCGTTGCCATCATAGGGAATGGATGACTCAGAAGGAGCCTTTCACATTTTCTAAGGACTTCATTACATTCTGGAAAATAGCTCAGGCTTGCGTGACTAGAGTCCAGTTTACAAAAGGGGCATTGGGGTAGGCAGAGACTGCAATGTGAGGATTTGTAGGCCTTTCATTTTAAAGATGTGGTTCCCCCAATGTGCAATCACAATTTATTTTAGTATCTTTACTCTCTCTGTCTATAAATGGTGCAGTGAGTGGGTGAGAACACTCAAAACAGGGATCAGGGACAGCAGTGGGGGCTGGAGCATTTGTTGGGAGGAGAAAGGGCTTGCTGGCCTAATCTCGAGGGGAGGCAGGAGAAGGGTGACCAGGACAGAGATTTGGGATTTAACTTGGCAATAGAATTGGTAGGTCTTTTTAGACTGAGAGCAATCTTTCAGTTTTCTTTAGCATTCTCCCATACTCCTTTGCTACCACAATCAAATCTCAGTCTGATTTTCTGTTTAAAATAATAGGTGCAAGAGAGGGCTGAATATCTTGGAATGGAAATTAGTTGAAATTATAAATGAATTTAATTTAATGGAATAGTTTGTTTCCCATAATTTAAAAATATTATTCTCTCATTTGTGACATTTTTATACTATATTTCTTTTGCTTAACCTATTTGTCTTTGAAAAGACAAGTATTTTTTTTGAAAAGACAAGTATTTGAAAAATAGTTTCATGTATTTAAAAAGAATATTTTTATTAACGTATGTTTGTAGCACATCACAATTATGTTTCCTTTGGGGAATTGGTATACATATGTAGCATAGTTTCATCATTTTTTATTGTTTTACTCTCCCTTCCTACCCTCTATTTCTTCCTCTCCCGAACTCCTTTCACATCTTTGACAACTTTGTCTTTTTATAATGACATTACTGTATTTTAAAAATAATAAAGTTTTGTTATTTTTGTCCTACTTAAAAACTCCTCCTTTATCATTTTTATACTAAAGCTTTAAGTGAATGAGTGATTTTTGACATCTGGCTTTATACAAGTGATACTGGGTTTGAAAAACTAACCCAAAAACCTATATAAAAGGAATATTGTTTATGTGTGCTTGCTCCTCTAGCCTTTTATTTTTGTTTATTTTTCATGATATCTAAATGATTATCTTCCTTGTTGTTGCTTCTTCCTAGCAAATGTTTCCTCTGGCTTCAGCAATATCTTATCGGAGAAATGGTTTTGATGTTAGTCTAAGTGAGACCTGAAATCAGTAGATGACAAATACAAATCATAAACATTGAAGTTCCTTAATGTAACAACATATACTTTATGTGTATGTACCTTTTCCCTTAGTTCAACTCCTAAAATGGGACACACACACACACACACACACACATACTTGAACACATTTTTTTCTTTCTTTCTTTCTTTTTTTTTTTTTTTTTTCTTGTACCAGGGATTGAACTCATGACCTTGCACTTGACAGGCAGGCACTTAAGCCACTGAGCTAAATCCCTTGCCCTAAACATGTTTCTTAAACATAATGTTTTAATTCAGAGTATAACTGGCAAATTGGGGATTTAAATATTTTATCACTAAAATGTTCTGTTTATAGTTCATCCTCAGAGGTTATGATTGCCATATAAATTTTACTTGACATGCTTTTTAATTGTGGTTAAGCAGCCAACTAAAACATAGTCATGAAAGCCAGAAAAAATGTTCATATCTAAGGAGGATTTGAACTCTAATAGTATAGGAATAACCTAAATCATAAGAAAATTAATATGATGTTCATACATTTAGTGGATGAAAGACTTCAAAATATGAATTATCTAGGGAATTAAGTTATTTCAAAAATTTTGAGCTCCTTTGTGCAAGGCAAGTCTCCAGTTTCTTCAGAGACTTCTGATAAAGTGGATTAAGAGACTTAAGGCTCCAGTATAAAATTGGCCTAACAGGAAGCCAAGGAAGCTGGTGGGAAAGCAAGACCTAAGTGGTGAAGGCAGCAGAAAGAAGCCCCTTCCTTTGTCTGGAGGAGGAGGGATCCCGGGTTCCTGAGGCACCTCGGCCTGTGCCCAGCCGCGCCTAGCCATCGGTGTGCAGAGGAGGAGCTGTGCGGATCCGGAGCGCCTGCAGAAGCCCCTTCCTTTGTCTGGAGGAGGAGGGATCCCAGGTTCCTGAGGCACCTCGGCCTGTGCCCAGCCGCGCCTAGCCATCGGTGTGCAGAGGAGGAGCTGCGCGGATCCGGAGCGCCTGCAGAAGCCCTTTCCTTTGTCTGGAGGAGGAGGGATCCCAGGTTCCTGAGGCACCTCGGCCTGTGCCCAGCCGCGCCTAGCCATCGGTGTGCAGAGGAGGAGCTGCGCGGATCCGGAGTGCCTGCAGAAGCCCCTTCCTTTGTCTGGAGGAGGAGGGATCCCGGGTTCCTGAGGCACCTCGGCCTGTGCCCAGCCGCGCCTAGCCATCGGTGTGCAGAGGAGGAGCTGTGCGGATCCGGAGCGCCTGCAGAAGCCCCTTCCTTTGTCTGGAGGAGGAGGGATCCCAGGTTCCTGAGGCACCTCGGCCTGTGCCCAGCCGCGCCTAGCCATCGGTGTGCAGAGGAGGAGCTGCGCGGATCCGGAGTGCCTGCAGAAGCCCCTTCCTTTGTCTGGAGGAGGAGGGATCCCGGGTTCCTGAGGCACCTCGGCCTGTGCCCAGCCGCGCCTAGCCATCGGTGTGCAGAGGAGGAGCTGCGCGGATCCGGAGTGCCTGCAGAAGCCCCTTCCTTTGTCTGGAGGAGGAGGGATCCCAGGTTCCTGAGGCACCTCGGCCTGTGCCCAGCCGCGTCTAGCCATCGGTGTGCAGAGGAGGAGCTGCGCGGATCTGGAGCGCCTGCAGAAGCCCCTTCCTTTGTCTGGAGGAGGAGGGATCCCAGGTTCCTGAGGCACCTCGGCCTGTGCCCAGCCGCACCTAGCCATCGGTGTGCAGAGGAGGAGCTGCGCGGATCCGGAGTGCCTGCAGAAGCCCCTTCCTTTGTCTGGAGGAGTGAATATTTCTGCAAGCAGGGAGGGATCCCGGGTTCCTGAGGCACCTTGGCCTGTGCCCAGCTGCGCCTAGGCATCTGCGTGCAGAGGAGGAGCTGGGTGGATCCGGAGTGCCCGCAGGAGGCCCTTCCTTTGTCTGGAGGACTGTGGATATCTCTGCAAGCAGGGAGGGATCACAGGCTCCTGAGGCACTGCGGCCTGTGGTGAGTACCCTAACCCGGCTGTGATCCAAGAGCTGTGGATCTACCAAGGGGCAGGTGGGCGCACAGTGTCCCTGAGGCCCAGCTTGTCTGGAACCGCGGAGTTCTCAACAAGCAGAGGAGGGCCATTGGTTTTGCAGGCCCAATGGCCTGGGGTAGAGTGGTGCCAGAGTCTCAGTAGCTGCAAACATAGAAGGGGATTTTCAACAGATCCTGAGGAGGCTTTCAAATAACACTTGAAACACAGAAATATAGGAAAATGACAAAACGAAAGACCAAATTACAACCTCAAACCTCCAGCCAATCTCAGGAAACCCTAGGAGGAATGTATTTAGAAGAAAATATATCCCATCCTCCTCATATATCAGACACAATAGCTACTGAAGTTGACAAGCAACTCCAGGAAGCTTTAAAGA